AGATTGAGATTGAAAATCGCGCGACGATGGAACGTGGAACGGCCGAACAACGACTGACGAACGGCGACGGCGGCAAGAACGGATCGAGCGCTCGCTGCCTGCTGTTAGCGTCGACGCCAGCGTCGCACTGTGGGGCTACTTTAGTTAGTGGAGCCTAGTGGCAAAGCGACTTTGATAAATTATTGTAAATGGTAATAAATTCTATTAATTACAAAAAAAAAACTTTATTTTTGTACTCTGTATTGAGTTTTAAACTTGTCTACTGTATTATTTTTTCTAAGGTTAAATATTCTATATTCTATATATAGCTTAAAAAAATCTATTTATTTTTCATATATTATTATTTCTTATACACAATAATATATTCAATTTTGTCGCTCCATTTGCTTTTAAAGCCCCACAGTGCAATGCTGCTGTCGACGGCTCTGCCAACGTCGCTGCTGCCGTTGCCTTCACTGATAGAGCCCTGCCCTTTGTTGTTGTTGTTCTTGTGCCCCCAAGAAAACAAAGCAAAAGGCACAAGGCAAGAGGCAAAGGCAGCAGCAGCAGCAGCAGGCTAAAACAAACGCAAACAAACAAATAAACGGTGACGGCGGGCAGCAGCAGCGTCGACGCCGGCTTCGTGGGGAGCTTACACACACACACACACATACACCCCCACAATCGCACACAGATTCACACTAGCACTAACACTTGCACGCGCGAATTGAAAAGCTAAAACGGAGAGCGACGGAGCACGAAGTGAACCACATTCAATTGGAGCGGCGAATGGCAAGACAAAAACACCGCAGAAAGCAAAAAGACCCCAAAAGCGAACATGACCGAAAAGCAAATGAGCTTGCCAACAGCTGCTGAGGCTGCGAAACAAAAGAACTAGTTCCCCAATGGGTTGGTTCAGATACTTTTTTATAACTTTTAAAAAACCTTCTTACTTTTTTTCGTATATGGATTTAACTTTACAGAAATATGTAATATTTATAAGGTATTTATCGAAAAGCAGTTATGTTTTTTAATTTTAATGCACACATAAATTTCAAATATATCGGTAATTAATCAAACTAGTTCCAAAAAACAGGTGGCCTTAATTACAGTCACAAATAATAGTTCGGAAAACCATCCTGTTTTAATTACTATTTTCCCAGTACACGTACGTAAATAAACAATAATAAATTTGAATTTTCCAGCAATTTCGCATGCAAATATTTTTGTTAGCCAATTAAAATGGCGATGGCATGCCTTAAATAACCAAATAAATAAGCCATAATTAAAAAATACATCAATTTTAAATAATAACCGAAATACTAAAGAGAACTTAATAACACAAATACCCTAACACAGTACCAGGTAAATTCGCTTTTATTAGCAAACAAGTTTCAATTTATTTAAAAAGAGTATAGCCGAAACAAGTACTCTTGGCATGACAAACAAAATTGATTGATTTTGTTTTGGTTTTTCGGATTTTAGCAAACATATTTTTCTAATTGAATTGAATTCCAAATTGACCCCACACAACGGTATTTTGCATTTAGTTTTATTGCACGAGGGCAACCCTGAAAAATGAGACGAACAAAAACAGAATAAAGAGGATTGGGGAGGGGCGGAGGTATTTGCGAAAAAAGCGACGAGGAAAAACAGTAGCAAAAAGAGAAGTGGGACAAGGCGAGGAGCCTCGGGTCGGGGGTCATCACCTCTGCCAAGTAGGCGCTGCCTACTTCATGTAAACACTACTATAAAGAGAGGAAGATGACGCAGAAGATGGCGGAGAAGAATCGGGGGAGCCGACAAGCAAAAGCAGACGCAGGCACTTGGAGGTCGTCATGGCAAGAGCGAGTAGCTCGTGGAAGGAGTGTGGATACAAGTACAGTGGGTTCTCTACAGCTTGCATTTTTCTTTCAATAACTAACAACAACAGGAAATTGTATCTCTAATGGCACAATAATAATATATTCAAATATAACTACGGGAAGCCGAAGTTTGCAATTTAATTATAGGATAGTGCCAAAAATCGATCATAACTAAGCTTACTTTGAATAAACATTTATCTATATTTTCCTATGAATTTTTTAAACTTTGATTTGGTGAGTAAATTACCAAATCAAAGTTTAAAAAATTCATAACTCAGCCAAACAAGCATCAATTTTAATTCGAAATGCTTTCCTATGTTAGTTTTTATCAGGTTAAAAATTCGGTGCACTCAATAAAAAATTTAAAAAAATTAATATTTTTAACGATGTTACCCCCTTATAAAATTTTGAAAAAGTCCGAAAAGGTTATTTTTCTCCCTGAGATGGCTAGATCAAGTCGGCTGTTGATACTGATTAAGAATATATATGATTTATGGGGTTGGATATGACTCCTTCACAGCATTTTAAGCTTCTGACTAAAACTAAAATACCATTTGAAGGGTATAAAAATATCTACCAAAGACAGATACTTTTTATAAATTATCATCCCATAAAACTAATCAACTCCCTTTTAATACCTAAAACAAAGTAGTAATTGAACTTATGTATCTGATAGATACCAGGTTAAAGTTTGGAAAGTTCCACTGTCTCTAGATATAGACAAATGCGTAGCCTGAGTGCAATTGCAATGGCGCCGAGCTGAAAAGCGGAGCAAATAAGCAAAAACAGCAAAAGCAACAGCAAACACAGCCAAACAAAGTCTCTCCAACATAGATTGCAATGTTTATTTATTTAGTCGATGGCAACACCAACAGCAAAGCACGGAATCTGCACAATGTGGGTATATTTTTGGGAGGTAGAGTGTTGTGTGCGGCCTGAGAATGCGGGGAGATGCACTCAGACACACTTAGAGACCCAATAATCCCACCTGGCAACAGTAAAAACGGAAACAATGTAGGCGAAATAGCAAACAAAATTGAATTCAGCAAAGGACAGAGGACACAAGGAGGTTGTGGGGGAGCCACAGGACTAAAGGGTTGAATGATGCAAGGATTTAATTTAATTTAAAGGCCAAATAATCAAAAGGCTTTAAGGGTAATTTAATGAAATATGGAAGTTTGGTTCTTAAGGAAACTTTAGATGTATTAAAAGACAACCGGATTGATTGATAGAAGGATTTAAATTTATTTAGAGGGGAAATAAACAAGAGCTATAAAGGTATTTAATAAGAAATGGTATTTTGGACTTAAATCACTTTTAAAATATATGTATTAAAGAATAGGTATTTATTGTTTTTCATTCTACAGGATTTAAGGCCTGAATGATGCAGAATAAGATTTAATTTAAAGGGAGAATGAGCAAGTGTTTTAAGCTCTTTTAAATATGGTATTTTATCCTTTAATATATTAAAGAAATAAAAGGGTGCATGATTTAAGATTCAAATTTATTTAGAGGGCGAGAATGGTATGGTATTTTGGATCTTTGGATACCTTTAACTATAGTAAAGGAAAATTATTTATTGTTATTCTTACCACAGGGTCAAAGGATTGAATGATGTTAGATTACATTTAATTTGGAGGGAAAATGGCAAGGACTTTAAGGCCTAAAAAAATATGGTATTTTGAAAAGTATTTGAATCTTGAAAAAAGTATATAATTATTTCTCTTTCCCGATAAGAACCCCTCAACTTTCCCGTAATATTTCTATTGTTAGATCCTCAAATAAATTGTGTAATTTTCTTCAATCTCTTAACTCGACCAAAGACAGTGATAACTGAAAGACAAGGACCAAAAACGCAGTCAAGGCGATAGCAAAAGTTAAGTAAACTCACACAAAGACAGGCGAGTAACAAACAAGGCAAACAAACAAATGAAACAAAGTAAACAAAAGAGAGTAAAGAGAGTTGGGAAGGGTAAGGAGAAGGCGAAGCTTAAGCCAGCTGAAGTGGAGTTGGGGCCAAATTAAATGTTAGTTCAAGGCAGACGAAGTGTGAAATAATCACATTAACTAATGCACAAACAACGTCAAAGAGAGATAGAGAGAGAGCGGAAGAAAGCTGCAGCAGGAAAACCTTCACCCACCGCCCACTTTCACCCACTCAGCTTCTTAAGTCACCCACAGTCGTCATCGCTATTTGTCTGGAAATGGGAATAGACTTGTGTTTGCAGGCCAAAGCCTATAAGAAGCATGGTAATACTTAATTAATAAGAGACACGTCTGGTCTTTCACCCATGGTCTGTGTGTATTTGCAATGAAATACTGGAATTTTCATCTATCAGAAGGCTGCAGACATGCAGATACTTATAAAGCTATTTGGGTTAACAAGTGTCACGATCTCACGACAAGCCTGAAATAGTTAACTCAGCTAATTATGCTTTTTTACAAAGTATTACAACAAGAGCAGAAAGCTAAAAGAGGGGAAAAATAACATTCATATCACTTAGAATTCTCAAGTACGTAAGTCAGTAAAATAAGCATTAATAAACTAAAAATATATGTATACCAAAACACCCAATGCTTTGACTTAAAAATCCCTTCTCGGCTTAATAGGACTTAATTTAAACAAGATGTTCTACCTTATATACTTTCCAAACCTCATCGTGAGTGGTCAGAAACCACCTAATCATTAACCTTTAAATCCATTTACTTTATATATACAAAAAAATATACACAACTTCTTGATGGTTATTATTAACACCACGCATTAACCTGCTTGCCATAGTGCTGCACAACTCTAATCTCTGTGTTGGCCATAAATATTTGATTTCGAACCCACCACTCGAGTCTTATCAGTCTTTCGGGTATCAAAACACAGCTCTCTGACCGAGCCCAATTAGGGATTTGCCTGGCAGGGTACCACATACATACGTCGGATGATACTAAAACTCATTGTACTATCAAAACTGATCCACATATGGACGAAACTCGAACAGACCAAGTCCAAGCAACAGTAATTATTATTATGGTGCCCCCAAGTCCACCACCCCATAGACCCCGACCGATGGCTCTCGTGAGGGTGTGGCGGCTATCTAAACAATTTTATCATCTACTGGAGCGGCGAGAACCGTATTCAGTCTCTGGCTGGCATTCGAGCGCGTTGGAAGTGTCAGCAGATTGCGGCCAAACTAGATTATTATATATATAAATATATATATATATTTCCTATATATTTACTCATTAAGTACATGAACAACGTGTAGAGAGGGTCATGGATCTACGTGTGGGCTTCAGTGAAAAATTGAAATTGGGCGCCAAGTGAGTGCAAAGTCCAAAGGGAAAACTGGAGCAATGAGTCATCTATCTATGTATGTATCTATTCCCTTCCTTTCAGGGTCATTGGCCATAAGGTTATACAGTACCGACTGGGCACAGGACACACCAAGGAGCTGGCAACGAAATATGGTCAGGTGAAGGGACAGCAGCGAAAGACCATCTATGATGGTGAGATCTACAACTCCTTCGAGGGTATACCCTTTGCCCAGCCACCGGTGGGTGAGTTGCGTTTTCGAGCCCCACAACCGCCAAGCTCCTGGCAGGGTGTGAGGGATTGCACCTATTCCCGGGATCAGCCCATGCAAAGGAACTCCATAACGAATAGTGCCGAGGGCTCTGAGGATTGCCTTTATCTCAATGTTTATGCCAAGAAACTGGAGTCAGAGAAACCTTTGCCCGTCATGGTTTGGATTTACGGTGGAGGATTTCAAATTGGCGGAGCCTCCCGGGATCTCTACGGACCGGATTACTTTATGAAGCACGACGTGATCCTGGTTACCTTTAACTATCGCGTGGGTGCTTTGGGTTTCTTGAGTCTCAAGGATAAGGCACTCAAGATACCAGGAAATGCCGGGTTGAAAGACCAAATTCAAGCCCTTCGTTGGGTTAAGGAAAACATATCTGTATTCAATGGAGATCCGCAGAATATAACCGTATTGGGAGAATCAGCAGGCGGGGCTTCTACGCACATCCTTATGCAATCGGAGCAGGCTCGAGGACTCTTCCATCGTGCCATTGTTCAATCTGGTTCAGCTTTGTGTGCCTGGGCCACAAACCCGGACCGGAAGTGGCCCCAGCGATTGGGCAAGGAGCTCGGCTATGCCGGAAACTTGGAGAATGAGAAGGAACTGCTGGAGTTCTTCCAGCAGATTCCAGCTGCCAAGCTGGCACTTCATTGCAATGCCATAGTGACACAGGAAGAGCATCGAGACTATGAGATTCTGGCTTTTGCTCCAGTTATTGAATCCTATGTGGGAGAGGATTGTGTAGTGCCTAAATCCCAACAGGAGCAACTGTCCACCGCATGGGGTAATGAGATTCCCTTGATTATAGGAGGAACCTCCTTTGAGGGACTCTTCTCGTACCAAAGCACCTTGGCGGATCCCCTGTACATGTTGAGTGCCTTTGAGGCCATAATTCCCAAGCAAGTTCGCGAAACAATCGACAAGGACGAACTGGCAGAGATGGTGAGGAAGTTGAAGAAATCCTATTTCGATGATCCTGAGAGGGCCAGCATGGAGCTCTACGAGTGCCTGCACATTCTGAGCATAAAAAACTTCTGGCACGACATTCATCGGACTCTCCTGGCACGATTGACCTATGCCCCCACCTTGTCCACATATCTCTACAGATTCGATATGGACTCGCCGCACTTTAATCACTACAGGATCCTCAAGTGCGGTAAAAAGGTGAGAGGAGTCTGTCACGCCGATGATATCTCCTACATGTTCTACGGTCTGCTTTCCAGCAAATTGGACAAGGATACGCCAGAATATCGCACCATTGAGCGTTTGATTGGCATGTGGACATCCTTTGCCATCAAGGGAGATCCCAATTGTGACATTATCGCGCCGGTGAAGTGGGAACCACTGAGACCAGGTGGCCAGGAAGTTTGCCTCAATATAGCCGATGGTTTGGAGTTTATACCACTGCCCGAAAGCAAGCAATTTGTGGTCTGGGATAGTTTCTATACCAGAGAGAGTCTCTACTAAGGACCCACAAAAAACAAAACCAAATTATAGGAAAAGTTTAAACTGCCTTGAAGCCTCGTCATCTGTCAAACAATATTCATAAGAATTAATTGTTTAAAATGCCAAAGATTTGCAAAATCGTGTTATTTTTTTGATGATTATACTATTCCCCAGAGTTAGAAAGTCAATAAATATGCTGCAGAGAATTTATACTATAAAAACAAACATTCTCTTATTAAAATACAACAATTAACCCATAAACTGAAAGCAAGCATAAAATCCAAACGATTCCCACTCTTACCAATTATCTCTACAAAATGTTATTTTGCTTTAATTTATTCTCGCATTTTTATTTCCTTTGTTTTTATGATGTTTTTGGCAACGTTCTTTCTTCAGTTGGAATTGATTCTCTAGCCAGTTTTATCCGGCTCTAGTGTCTGGGTCGTGTTTGCGTTTCTTTTATTGACTTTTGGGCAGCTTGCCAGGAAATTCTCGGGAGCCAAGGGAATACCGCAGGTCATTGTTGTCAATCCAATAATCTGTGTGTGTGTGTTTTGTTCTACTTTTTCCCTCCATTCACAAGATCATAAATTTTTGAAATGTTTAAACAACAATTAATCTTCCGGGGTTTGTTTTGGGGGAATTTCGAGCAAACGATTTAAAGATTTTTTCATTGGCATTCGCAGAACTCTGAGATTTTTAAAGAGAATTTTTAATGCCATTGCAAACATAAATTTGATTTATTATTTTGTGCATATCTTAAGTTAAAAGAGAAACTAGTTGGTTTAATTTGCACATTAATGTGGAGATAACTGGCTGAAGAAAAGACGGTTTTGTTGATGCAACGAAGAGGGGAATACCCTAACGTTTTGTAACAATTCTTTTACGATATTTTAAATACCTTGCTTAATTTTAGTACAAGATTAATCGAGGGGCTCAAGTAACTGGCTAGGATATAAAGCTGTTTCCTTAAAAGTTTCAAAATGTGGGTTATTTCCAGCTCTTTTTTCACCAATGTAAATGGTAAAAAAACCAATACTGAACTGCAAGCTTGGTTATTCCAATATTATTATATTAATATTTATGTGATTAACTGTTTAATTAGAATAAACAGAAATTTATTCATATATTTTATTAAGAAGAGCAGAAAATAAATTATTTATGTTTGCTAAACACAATTTTTAAAACGAATAAAATAAAATAAATCATTTTCCTTCAGTTTTTTTTAAATAAATAAAATGTTGGTTTTTTAAACCGTTTTTAAAGCTATTTAGTTTCCAAAATGTAATTTTAAGTACATTATTTTATAGGAACAAAGGAATAATTTTTCAATTTTGATTTAAAATAATTTAAATAACATACATATCAAGTATTTATTCAGCATATACTACCTGCCTTTAGGGTATTACCCAAACGATTTGTTTATACAATTGTTTATAACAAATCTCTAGATATAGTTTATGGCTTTCGTCTATTTTGGTTTTGGCATCGAGCCAGACCAACGGATCGATTTAAATGCTCTGACTTTTTATTTTTATTTTTTTAATTTGATTTGATTTCGTTACGGATTCACTCGTTTTGCTTTAAATAAAACTCGAGCATAAATATTTAAATTGCTTTTCGCACTTTTCGTTGAATGGAAATTCATGCACGTCATTCGATTGAGTAGGAGAGGAGATGGAGGAAAATGGTAGGCTTTTCTGGCGGCGAGCCAAACGAGAATTTCCATGGTTTACTGGGTTAAATTTAATTAATTTGTCTCGTAGCCTCACACCCGGGGAAGGTCCGGTTCGGGGCGCTATGATTTTTCCCCAGTTTGATTATTTATTCATTCCGCATTTTCCCCTGAATAGGCTCTCTCTCGCTCCCGCTCCCTCCCTCCCTCTTGTGTGTTTTCTGCATTGCAGCATTTGCAATTTTATTTGCCTTTATTTATTTATTTATTATTTCGTGGGCAGTCGTACTTTTCATTTTACATTTGCTTATTTTTGTTTGGGCTTTACTTTTTCCTGCGAAAATTTACACAATTCCAATTAATGGCATTTAATTATTTATCCGGCATTTTACACATTGCATTCCGAGGCTCCCAGAGCGCGGCTCACCAGCTGTGAATTTTGCATTTTTATAGCATGTCGGATGGATATTTCTGCGTTGAATTTAAAATTCAAATTGTTTTGGTTTCGTGTCGATGGGAAGGCGGTGGGTGGTTTGAGTACTTCAAATTAATTTCCATTTGTGGGCTTTGTTGCGTGCAAAAGAGTGGGAGGCAGAAATCAAGGGGAGGCGATGTTGAGGAGGCTGGTCAAGTTGTTTGAGTTCAAAATTTGTGTTATAATTAAGTTATATGAATGTTGCTTTCGATTTAAGAGTTTTTAATTGCATTTTTTCAAGCAGACTTGCAAAAAAATAAAACAACAAATTAAGTTATGCATTGAATAAAATCATACAACTTAAAACAAAAAGGAAAATACATACATAATAAATTCACAACAAATTAAATTCAGCTTTAAATAATGCCTCAATTAAATTATTTTGAAAATAAATAATTTGGTAGATATTTTTTGTTATTTATTAAATGTAAATAGAACTGTTGTAAACCAAATCAAAAGATAAACAAGAAACTAAACTAAGTTCGGAAAGTCAAAGTTAATGTATCCTTGCAGTTTGCTTTTGAATTTAATTTTAAAATTTAAAACATTTCCCGTTAACATTTCTTCATTTGTTTTCTATAATCTTATATATTTAAATCTTAAAATCTAGAAAAACACATGAGGAGAAAAGAAAGCAACTAAAATTCCCAAGTACGAATTCAGAGTGCCTCCGCTATGAAAAATCTATATGACAAAATCTAAAAACTCTTTAAAAACCTGCAACCTATTCAATGATTCACTCTAGAAATCCTAATCAAACTCATATTAAATGAACGTCTGACTTCATGGGACATTCATTGAGCGAAACCAGGGCAATGTCTCAAAATTATAAATACATTTTTGCATTCAGAAATAAAATCGAAAAACACAAAAGCACACAAATAAAAAAATTAAAAAACAAGAAGACAAAAACTCGAAATAAGAAAAAAAAACGAAAGAAGCGAAATAATCGCGGAAAGCTATTAAAATTTAATCAGAAACACAAGCGACCCTGCGGTCAAAATTCCCACAACATTCGCCGCCTCCTCGAGGTCCCCCTGTGAACCCCATGTCCCCTCTTGGATGATGATGATGATGATAATGCGAGGGACAACGAATATATACATATATACTATATATGGTTATATGTGGATGCTGATGACGACGGAGACGACTGTGGCGACCCCACTGATTAATCGTTCGCACAGTGGAGAGCCTTACTCCCGGGTCAATCTCCATGGCGCCAATATTATGATGATCATCAGCAGACATCATCATCATCATCATCAACATCATCAGCATCATCAGCATCATCATCATCATCATCGAAACCATTGGCTGCTGTGGCAATATTTTTGTTTATTTTCATTCGTGCGACGCGAAAAACTGCTCTCGTAAATGTATTTCGTATTTTTTTTTTGTCTTCCTGTTGCCAATGTTTGTTTTTATTTTTATTTTTGCCGCTTCACGTTTTTGCATTTCCTCTTTTTGGTAGCAGCGTGTGCTTCCCCCGCTCTCAAAAACCATTTTTATTGAATTCCATTATTTATGCGAGAGTGAACAATATTGAAATTTTCACAAAATATTTTCAAAAGCATCGGCAACAGGAGCAGCAGCATCCATAAACATTTCTATTTGCATATTCATATATATATTATATTTGATGTGTGCAGGCACACTTTGGGGTTTCATTTAAAGCCACAGGGAAATGTTAAAGTTTGTGAGAAGAAAACTATAGAAAACTGTAGAAATTTGATGTAGCTTTAATCAAGGATAGATTGTGGTTCTTTTTGCTTTAAAAGTGTATTTTTTGGTAATTTTAGAAGTAAGTAAGTATTTAAAAGTAAGAAATATAAAACTCACTTTTAAACACAATATATTCTGCGTTTTTTAAGATGCATGTTCTCCGAATTTAAGTGTACTTTAATTCGCTGATTTAATTTGCACTATCAACTTTATTTAAATGATAAAAACCTTCACAGAAACCTGTTTTTTGATATTTTTCATAGCAAAATGTACACAAATTTCTTTCATTTTTCCCTTAAAACAACGTTCTAAATATTAAATCCTTGGTATTAAACCAATTCTTTAAATCTCTAAGATATTAAATCCTCTTGTACTTTGCTAATTCCCAAAGAACACCCTCTTAAATAAAAAACCCACTTCTTTCACAGAATTAAAGAACCAAAAACATTGCTTTCACTCCCATAATCTTCAAATATCAGATTCACCTCGACCCCATTTTCGGTGTGAGATGTATGTAAATTTTTGCTACCGAAAACCGGATGCTTCATATACAATGCATGTATGCCAATGACAGATTGAATTTCTCGCGGCTCCTTGCCAGTATAATTTTGTATATATTTAAATTGCAAAACTCACCTGGTGAGCGTTCCACTGGTGCATGAGGTCCTCGTAGCAGATCTGACATGCCTGGATCATTCCACGCGGGTCCTTTGGCCGGGAGCGAGCTGGTCGTGGATGCTGCTCATTGAACAGGGGAAAGTATGCCGTCGGTTGTCCAGGTCTTCCAGTCTCCCGGGGCTTAACCGTGCTCAACTCTATGAGGCTACCTCTTCGTTGCTCATCACCACAAACGTAGCACACCTCGGTAATGGAGTTCTTGTCGGGCATGGATAGATCCAGGATACCCACCTCCGTTTGGGGCTGGCTGGAGGGCATCGCTGTCGAAGCACTACTGGCTGCATGACGCGGTGCTGGCGGTGGTGCACTAGAGGTGCTGGATGAATTTCGCAGATCCAACACGGTGGCATTGTCATCTTCCAGAGTTGAGATGGGCGGCGGTCCGAGTGTTCCACCTAGTGAGGGCAAGGCAGTGTAGGGATTACCCTTATAGTGTGCCGATTCCGTGGCTCCTCCTCCGCCTCCTCCCCCAGCGGTTGCCTGCTGCAGCAAGTGATAGGCGGCCGTCTGCTGCTGGAGCTGCTGATACTGGGCGGGATGATAGGGCGCCTGTGCCTGGTAACCAGCTGCGGATGTGGCCGGCGGTGGTGCAGGGCTGAGCTTGTACTTTTGCTGAGCATAGCCGCTGGATGGCTTAATGGCCGGCGGTTCGCTGGGCGGTCGCGATATGGGCGAGGCCACGGGCATATCCCGTGATTGTGGCCTGCTCAGGTATCTGTTGTGGTTGCTCGAGGGCGTAGAGTTCCGGGGATAAAAGTCCCCACCACCGCCGACGCCGCCGCCTCCGCCTGCCCCACCGGCAGCACTGGGATTGGGCGAGGGTGAGGCATTCCTTGAGGTACTGAGGTGGTGATGATGCGACGACTGCTGCTGCGGTGAATAGTGGCGAGCCAGGGCATAGGGGTCCCCGTGACCTTCGACCAGTCCATTTTGGGTGAGATGCTCGGCACTCAGACCCAGTACCTGGGCAGCATACTCGCTCTGGGTGGCCACATCTGCTCCTATATATCCCTTACCATCCACCCGCTTCATGTGGTAGATGCGCTGCAGCAGCGGCTTCTTCTGCCGCTCGTACGAGTCCCATTGCTCGTTCAGGGATCGAAAGCAGAGCATACAGGCCCACACGTACTCCTGGGCAGGAGACACAGAAGCCACCCCGTTAGGCGGTTCATGACGCTCCAGGAAAGGGAAATATGACTCCCCAGGACGCTCGGGATTGTGGCGTATCCTCAGGGGTTGCTGCTCATAGCCACCATGTCCACCGCACACAAAGCAAATGCTTATGGGCACATGATGATGCTCGGGCGGTGCTGAGGCTCGTCCCGTGGACTTGACCCCACTAGGTGCTCCTGTGTGTGCCGGATAGTAATGCTGGGCGGGATGTGGCGGATAGCCCAGGTGGTATTGCTCACTGGGCGTTCGTGTGCGATGTGCTGCTGCTCCGGGCGAGGGCATCAGTTCCATGGGTGGATATGGCTGCTTGGTCGCTTGAAGCGTTCCAGGCGCCGAGGCCGGCGAGGGCGGTGTGGGCGTCGTTGCTGGCTCGGATTGCTGGCTGCCACCGCGAAGTTCATTCTTGATATATGCCTTCGCCTTTTCCATAATATTTGCAGCTGCAAAGGAGGAGAAAAGTTTGAAAATGAATATATGAAAATGCTTTAAATTTAAGAGAAATGGATTTGAATTGGGGAAAAACAAGGGTGGCCCAAGGCCTTGACTCGCGGGTTAGCAAATTAAAAGAAGGATTATTTCTTTATCAACTAATTTTTTGATATTTTTACAGCTAAGTATCGAAGTTTTGACAATAAATTTGTATGTGAACAAGTGAATATCGATGTATCTACAATAATTATCTGTGTTTTTTAATGGCTAGTTACTTTTATATTACTATTTAGTCAAACTTTAAAACATTTTGTGAGTTCTCTAGTGTTCCTTGATCGGTTTACTGACCTCAATTGTATATAGCATTTATTGGAATTAATTCATTATGTTAAGCTTTACAAGTTCAATATTGAAAATATTTAAGTTTTCAACAGCAAGTGGTATAATTAAACTTTTTGAAATATTTATCTCAAAAGTCCAAACATGATAGGTTTAAAGCTTTTCGGTTTCTGTTCATAATATAAACTTAATATAGTAAAAAACTCTAGAATAAAGATACATCTTCATCATTTACTTGACCACGAGTTAAGATAATATACAAATCCTAAGAATTTCTGCGTAATCAAAATGTTAACTCAACTGAAACTTAAGACTCATAAGACTCCTATAGTATTTAATTATACCACATTTTCAGACCAGCCTCCCTTCTCTCGTAGCTTCCACATGGCGTCTGCGTTGAGCGATCAGAAATTCGATGCTCGTTAATCGAACGATTGCCGATAGCGATAACCTATTTCAGCGGCGGGACTTTGCGATAACCCGGATCACACAGCGATCATGATCTCTGAGCTCTGGGCATCGATGTGGGAAGTGTGCGGTTGGTATAAATAAACAGCAAATGGAATCGAATAAAAATAAGGGAAAAATTATTCGCATGTTTAAGTGATTCGACGATTTGTCGGACGTTGATTCTTGTCTCTGGGTCGATGTGATTTTATTTTGATTTGATTCCCTACACTTTTTTTTTGTTTTATTTAAAAGACTCTTTTGTGTTATTTCCTTTACGATGCAATGCGCATTTGTTTTCATTAATATGTGTATAGCAATTTCAGACATGTGACGCAAGTCCGGACACTCGGAAAGAAGCAAATCGGTATAAAGAGCCTGATAACGAGGGCAGAGCGGAAAAAATCAGCGGAGAGGAATGCCCATTGAATACATAAGCAATAAGATGTACGAATCTGGCACTTTGGAGTTCCAGATGAATCTGGACCGGCGCCTGGCTAAATATATCTGAAATTTGTTTGTTTATGGCACACGGACCAGGTTCGAACCGTGCTAATTCGCTTTATCAAGTACTATATAGTATATAGTATATAATGCCAAATCGGGGCATTCGCTAAACAATTTTGTGATGCCCTCGTTTAGCGCACTCAATTCTCTTAATAATCATAATGATGAGAATGATTGTGGGGCTCAGCAACAATTGAACAATAGTTGGTTTACAATTTAAATTTTTTTAATCAAAATTATGCAGTCATCATGTTATTTGCCTCGACTAATTAAATGTTTCATTATTTATTTACAAAGAATGCGCACAATTTTCCAGTTGTAATTTCAATGGCCATAATTGAGTTATATAATGCAAAGGCAGCAGGAAAAAAAGGGAAACTTTTTCATTTTGCAATTACAATGATTTATTTGTGTGCAATTTTTATTGATTGTTTTTAAGAGGTGTGAGCAATATATATTATTTGTTTTTTTTTAGTCAACAAACAACTTGTTTAAATAGTAGTTGCTGCAATTAATATTGAATATATATTTTTGTTTATTAATTTCAATTCATTATAATTATACCCTTGCAGGTTATTATAATTTCAGTCAGAAGTTTGCAACGCAGTGAAGCAGTCATCTCCGTCCATATATTTTATTGATCAGCATCAACAGTAAGTAAGTAAGTAACTATGATCAGCAATTAACTAAGATCAGTAACAAACTATGAAGTAAGTAAGTAAGTAAGAAGTAAGTAACTCTGATCAGTAAGTATTAATGACCAGTAAGTATGTAAGTATGATCACTTACTAACTTTAAACACTAATAAACAATGACTTGCAACTTTTGTAACACAACACATATCTGAGACCTGGCCGGCAGAAGCCACTTCGTTCCGGGGATGTTAGAACAAGTTGGGAATCATAGCACACATGTGCGAGTTTAGTTTTGAAACCAAAAGCAAGCTATTTGAATGAAACCATGGGTTATTCTTCAATATAATTTTACTAGTATATAATTCAGAGCATGACGAATCGGTGGACTATATATATACATATATATATAGCTGACATAGGAACATTCGGACGATTTATATAGCTATGATCAGTAATTAATTTTGAGCAGTAAGTAACTATGATCAGTAAGTAGCTATGAGTAAGTATATATGAGCAGTAAGTAACTCTGAACGGTAAGTATCTACGACTAGTAAGTAACTATGATCAGTAAGTATCTTCGACTAGAAAGTATCTATGATCAGTTACTAACTTTGAACACTAATAAACAATGACTTGCACTTTTTGTAAGATAACACATTTCTGAGACTTGGCCGGCAGGAGTCACTTCGTTCCGGGGATGTTTGAACCAGTTGGGAATTATATGCATACATTTGCGAATTTAGTTTTGAAACTAAAAGCAAGCTATTTAAATGAAACTATGGAATTATTTTTCAATATAATTTTACTAGTATATAATTAAGCGCATGACGAATCGGTGGACTATATACATACATATATATAAAGTTGACATAGGAACAATCCGGACGATTTATGTAGCTATGATCAGTAATTAATTATGAGCAGTAAGTAACTATGATCAGTAAGTAGCTATGAGTAAGTATATATGAGCAGTAAGTAACTCTGAACGGTAAGTATCTACGACTAGTAAGCAACTATGATTAGTAAGTATCTTCGACTAGTAAGTATCTATGATCAGTTACTAACTTTGAACACTAATAAACAATGACTTGCACTTTTTGTAAGATAACACATTTCTGAGACTTGGCCGGCAGGAGTCACTTCGTTCCGGGGATGTTTGAACCAGTTGGGAATTATATGCATACATTTGCGAGTTTAGTTTTGAAACCAAAAGCAAACTATTTAAATGAAACTATGGAATTATTCTTCACTATAATTTTACTAGTATATAATAAAGAGCATGACGAATCGGTGGACTATATATATACATATATATAAAGCTGACATAGGAACAATCCGGACGATTTATGTAGCTATGATCAGTAATTAATTATGAGCAGTAAGTAACTATGATCAGTAAGTAGCTATGAGTAAGTATATATGAGCAGTAAGTAACTTTGAACAGTAAGTATCTACGACTAGTAAGCAACTATGATTAGTAAGTATCTTCGACTAGTAAGTATCTATGATCACTTACTAACTTTGAACACTAATAAACAATGACTTGCAACTTTTGTAACACAACATATATCTGAGACCTGGCCGGCAGAAGCCACTTCGTTCCGGGGATGTTAGAACAAGTTGGGAATCATAGCACACATGTGCGAGTTTAGTTTTGAAACCAAAAGCAAGGTATTTCAATGAAACCATGGAGTTATTTTTCAACATAATTTAACTACTATATAAGCCGGAGCATGACGAATCGGTGGACTTTATATACACATATAGCTGGCATAGGAACGATCGGAAAACTTTAAGAAAAAAATATAATAATATAATATAATATATAAATATAACTTTTCCAGTTTTTAACAGATGTTATATATATAAAATATATTTTATAAAAATTTTATTTTATGAAATTTTATCGGATATATATAATTTATATTTTATTAATTCCTAGTGATCGATTTTCAATCTGCAAGGGTACACAAAAATCGGCGTGCTGAAGTTAACTTCCTTTTTAGGTTATTTATTTCAAAAAGTCTGAAAGTTTAATTAAGCTGTTAAAAAGACTTTAATTAATAATATCTCCCTAAATAAACTCAACTGATTCTACTTAATAAACTTAAACCCAACAAATGTCCTAAAAAAGCATAAGCTCGTTATGAGGCTTAACATTTCTGACTAAAAACTATTCAAATGTTCATAAAACCATGCAAAATGTTTGTTGTTCTTCATACAGCCATTATTTTTAATTTATTTATGCGCAGTTTTATTGATTTTTTTTTTGTGGGCTTTGGTACTTTAAAGCATGGTGCTTGCTTTAGTTTTTGTTTTTCCAACTAGTAGCTGTGCTGCATGTGGGGAAAAGTGCAGTTGCTAGCTCCCATATTTTTTATTTCCCCCCTCATTTTGCTTGTGCAAGCTTTTAAGAGTTGTTTGCCAGTTTATTTTTTAAATACCCTTACAAGGTAATAAAGTTTTATTTAGAAGTTTGTAAACAAGGTAAAGAAGCCATTTCCGGTCCTATAAATTATATATATTTTTAATCAGCATCGAAAAACAACTTAATCTGGCCATTTCAGCGAGAAAAAAACATTTTCTTCGAATTTTCCTAAATTATTTAGGGGGTTAAATCGTTAAAATTATCAAAAATTGTCACAATTTTTTTTTTTTTTTTAATGTTAAATTGAGAATGCAGATTTATGAACTTACTGAAAAAGCATCATAGGTATAAGGTATAAGGTAAGGTATCCTTATTGAAATTAATGTGCTTTTGGCTTAGTTTTAATCAAATTCTGACCCTGCAAGGGTATTAAAACTTCGGCCAGCACAAAGTTAGCTTCCTTTCTTGTTTTATTTAGCATTTGGGTGTTTTGTATGAATGTGTGTGTTCCATACACACAATTTTTGCCAGTGCCTGCACTTGAACATTGTTGCTTTTGTGTGCCCGCCCACCTGCCTGCCTCTGGTTGCCTGTTTTTCACTGTTTTTCCCCACTCCCAGTAGTTGTTTTTGAAAACTTTTGTTTTTTTTTTTTGTGTTTTCTCCCCCGCCAGCAGCTTACAGGAACATTTTTATGGCTCTCTTGTCCTTGTTTTTTCTTTCTTTTCTTTTTGAGGGCGTGGCAGCTCTCGAACAAGTGAAATAGAAAACCCCACGAACCCATTTTTAAAGTTTTCCTTTTTGCACGTTTTTTGCTAAACTTGGCTTTAAGCATTGAACTCACGCTTATCGAGGATGTTCTTGCTCCTGTTTTTTTCCACTTCTCCTTTTTTTGTTATAGTTATAGTTGTAGCGGAAGTTGCCAGCAATAACAATAACAAAAGGGTGCACAACTTTTCCAGGACAAGAAAGAAAAAGTTGCGCCGTTGGTGCAAAAGTTTTTAGCGTAGTTGGAAATTCTTTTCGCTTCTCGATTATATGCGGAGTTTTATTTTTAGTTTTCTTCTGTTTTCTCTTTTTTTTTGTGTTAGTTCGTTCTCTCAACTAAGTTCTTTTGTGTTGAAGCTTGCAAAGTGAGTTAAGGTGCTTAAGTTTTCGACCGTCTTTATTGTTAGTCGCTTTTTATCTAGTTTTTTTTTCTGTGTCAGAACTAAACGCCGCGGGGAGCTGCCTTGGCTCGAAAATGTAATAATAAATCTGAGTATGAAATATGAAATTGCAATGTGCCAAAAAGGATGTTGTTGCATATTTCTACGGATATTCATATTTCATATTTACCATCCGCACATTTTCTTTTGGCGCTTACGCTGGGAAGCTGAATGCCTCGCCTTTGATGCAATTGAAGTTACGAGCAGAAATTGAATTTTAAAAAATTTGCATTGGCGCCCAAAACAAGATGGAAAAACCGGAAACACAAATAAAAGCAAACAAACAACAACAGAATGGACAGATAAATCCTTGCTGGCCAGCAAAGAATAAAAACAACAGAGAATCTACAACAACCACACACAGGAACCAGCAGTATGACAGCTAGAGGGGGGAGGAGAGTCGAAAATGGAATTTATTAAATAGCATTCCGCGCAATAAACTCTCGCAAAAAAAATACAAACAACAAATACACACAAACACACACACACACACACACTCGCAAAATCAAATAAAACAACTTGGACATGCAATTTTATGGCAGGACTTCGGTCGGCTCCCTTTTCCAGCCCTGCCCCCTCCTTTTGCCACTTAGTCCCTCTTCTCACGCAACACAAACAGACGTAAAAACAACAACAAAATAAAAATGAAATAAAATATGAGAGAACAAGAAGGGAAGCTGACTTTGCGTAGCAGAAGACTGTATACCCTTGCAGTGTGGAAAAGCATAACTTTCAATTTGGAAAGTTTTCCTATGATAGTTTTTATTAGATTAATAAATCTGCCTACTCAAATTAAGATTTAAAAAAAAATAAATTTTTTTTTTTTTCAAATTTTGACAATTTTTACGATGTAACGCCTTATAAAATTTTGAAAAATTTCGATAATTTAATCTTTTGATCAGACATGGCTAGATCTACTCGACTTTTGATGCTGATCAAGAATATATATGATTTATGGGGCCGAAAATGACTCCTTCAATTAATATTTATCTCAAAAGGGTAAAAAAAATAGATGGTATCAGAAGAAGTGTGAAATACCCTTAAATATCAGTGCTTGTTAAAATATTTTCAGTAAATCTTATGAAGTATTTCAAATGTATTTATTTTTTAAATAATAATTAAAAGGTAACTCTCAAAAGATGTATTATAGTATACATACTATAAAACTAAATATTCTTTTTTATAGTTATTATTTATAGTTAGTTATTTATAGTAATTAAAGTTATAATTCGGACATTTAATATTTATGACATCCTACTAAAAGCTTTTTGTGTGAATAAACCCCTAGCTTTCCAAATCAATAGATTTCGATTAAAAAAAAATACCCCCAGAAAGTGTATATAGGAAAGGGTAAATACAAGGAGAGGGGTAAAATAATAATAATAAAAAAAAGACCGCGCTCAACATTTTTTCCATTAAGGGCCCCCGAAAATGCCCGGACAGCTAAAAGGGGGGCCCTGTCTGTGGTCAGGAGTTGGGGATTCTGAGCCGATACAGGTTCTCGTTCGGGCAAAAGGGGAATAAAGCCGAATCGAATAAAAAAAAGGGTAAATTAATAAGCACGTCGCTCTTTAAAGTTCAAACAAAATGCGACAAAAAGGAGACGATATAAATATATACACACACACATGCAAGGCCGATGAATGAAATGCATATTTAATTATTGTGTAAATCATCCTTTTTATTATTTCGATTTTCATTTCATTTTTTACCCGTGAGCTTCGTGCGTTTGTTTGTTTGCTGCTAATGGCGCCTGTCGCATTAAATTACCGCTTTAATGATAATTTAATTTCATCGATTTCACAAATAATATAATTTGTTTTTTAAATAAATGTAATTGTATTATATTTGCTTGTGGTAGAGGTAAATCTCTTGGGTAATTGATAAATATATTTTGGAATAATTCCGTATATTTAAATAAATAATTGAATATTGTATATTTGTATATTTTTATATGTATATTTTTATATGTGACATAGTTGAATGAAAATGTATTTTTTCAATTAACAAACAATTTCAATTGGCAAACATTTCAAATGGTATTCTCACCCGCATCCATGACTAATATCTGCTCATCCGATTTCAAGTGGAACACAGGTTGCTATCGCACTTTGACACCTGGCTAATTTCCATCCATAAGAAACTTTGTTTAAATATGCATTTTGCTGCTAAAAATACTTTGCACCAATCACCTTCAATTTAAACTTGAAACGGGTAACAAAGCTAAAGTTTAGACTTTAAGATACTGAGTGTCATGCGGATAAAACAAAATTTTAAATATATTTAATCTATAGACAACCTATAAGAATGTTGTAACCAAGTTTGATAGCTCTAGCTCTAATAGTTTATAAGAGCTGACTAGATTGACTCTCCTGATGATCCCCTATAAGAATAAATACAATTCCTTACGTTGGTGAAGTTTTATCAAAATCTGGTCACTAAGTTATTAAGTTAAAATAACCTTGCACTCTTTGGGTACCGGGTATTAGATGATTATTTAATTATAATCTAAATATTATAACCTAAAGAATCTTATGTGCTTTTCACAACCTTCAATTTTATAGCAATATTTTATGATACATTTGAGTTTGCAGCGGACATTTGTGATTGAAACCGAATGGAACCAAACTGTCAAGTTGGAATTGATTTAACTTAATTGAATTTTCAATTTGTCTGCCGATCCGGTAACGGGTAACCGGTTTCAACCGAGCCCAGGGAAAACCAACCCAACCCCATCCAATTGAGCAGACTGTATTTTAATATTCCAACTGATCGACGGCAGTTAATAAACCCCGATTGTTCCGATACTGACCTGTGCTCCTGGGTGCTTCGGCCTATTTCAGTTGACTTCTATTAATCCAAATCATGAGTGCTGCTCGTCGATTTGTTGAGGAATCGTTGTATCGATTTTGATGAGTTGGAAACCAGGTGAAAGATAGGTGCTTTTGGGGGGAATTAAAGCCGAATTGGTGGGGGGGTGAAGGGGATTGAATAAGGGGTTTAACTTCAGGAAAAACACATTTGGTTTCAGGCACTTTTCTGGACTTTTTATTTGTCTTCTTTATTTGACTTCACTTCACTTTTCTTGCTTTTGAAGCTTTTTTAAGAGCACTAATGGAATTTTTGAATTGAGCAATTTATGTCGTATTATTTGTGGGTTTTGAATTCTGTTTGATATATATATTTTTGTTGTGCTATTTTGCTTTTGCCACTGTACTTTGAAACTGTAATACAAATTAAAATTAATCAGGTGTTTTTTGTTTATGTTTATTTCTGGTTGGTTTGCTGGAGCTTTAAGTATATGAGGAAATCAAATAGACTTTTAAATTAATCAGCTGTTTTGCTGCTTTTGTATTGCTTTATTGTATTATATATTGTTTGATTTATTGTTAGAAGTTTTTTAATGGCTTTAAGCTGTACTGTTGGGCTTTTGTTGGAGTACTTTAAGCTCTTAATTTCTTCAATACTTTTACAAGTTTATTAATATCTTTTTATTTAATTTAATCGATTTTAGCTTGATTATTATTGACACTTCTATTATTCAGATATTTTTTCTTCGTTTTATTCACAGTTATTCCAAAGATGGATGGTATTGTTATATTTTTCATTCACTTTTTTTCAGAATTCTTAAGATCACTTTATTGCAATTTAATTATATATTTCTTTTCATTTTATCGTGTGTTATTTTAGCGCTTTTTTGCTTTGTAAACATTTACAGAATTTATAAAATTCAGAACAACAAAAATTTCGCCTCATGGCCACTGCGCCGGCAGCGACGTCAGCTGAGACGTCGACGTCGAAAGGCGACACCATTTCACCGGCGACGAGCGAAAGAGACGTAACGAGTGCCAGAGAGAGGGAGTTCGAGAATCGAGATCACACGCTGCGCGCTGCAACTGTTGCCGCAGCAGCAGCACTGCCAGCACAAACAGCAGCAAAAACAACAACAAATTGTTTGAAAAGTTACCACTTTTAATGCGACTTTTCGTAGCTGCGACCTTGGATTTGTTAGCTTTTAGAGCTGAACTCTTGGACTGGCGGCAGTCCCCATTGCTTTAACACCTTCCAAGCGCTTATCCAATTGTTTGCATTTGCTTTTTGCCTTTGTTGCTTGTTGCTGCTGCTGGTGCTGGGGCTGGGGGCTCCGCTGGCGTCAGCTGCTGCTATGCAGGTTGCACTTTTTCACTGTTGGCCCGTTTTGGGAGTATTTTAAACAATATTTACGGTATTTTGGCGTTGTTTTAAGTAGTTAATCATAACACACATTAGCGCGGAGGCAAAAGTATCTTATAGAGGCACGATTTTTTCTGAGCGTTTTCTCTGCCGACGTCGCGGCCTGCCATGTTGAAATAAACAGCTGACCGCGGTGTTGCCAGATGGTATTAAGGTCTAGGTACTAAAAAATCTCAAAAAGTCGAGATTTCCCCCCAAAAATATCGTAATTTCCCGCTAAAATTACAGAAAACCAATTAATCTGAAATTTGTGCGTGACGTCATATCTCATTATCAATGGGAAACGTTCTTCTTCAAAACATTTAACTATTACTATATTCTATAAGACCATTGTTTTCTTAATTAAAATTCCGACTAGACAATGGAACCCTAATTTGGGAGTAATTGCATAAAAACTGTTATAAACTTCCATACAAAAGGTGTCGAACTGCAAGAAGTATTATATAGGCTTGTTTAAAATGGTTTAAAGCATTGATAAAATGGTGTTTAACTTAGTTGTTCAAGCCAGCAATTAGCTCGACGTAAGAGGAAACGTAGTGACTGAACGTTATTATCTGTCCGGCACAATCGATAATTTTTTGATAATCGCGCGATACTAAACAATATTTAAATTCAAAAATTGCATAAAAAGAACCAAACAGAGTAACTTGTTTAGACACATTTTAAAGCAAAGGCCCAAAACTTGTAGGTGGTTTTGTTCTAGTGTTAAATCAGCCAGTGAAATATGCTTTGAGTCTCATTACAACAATAATTCTTGGAATTTTAAACATTTATATTAATCCTTAAGAAATTCAGGTCAAAAGAATAGTTTGAACTAAAATTTAAGCAAGTTTTCTTTGCTTCCAAAGCTTTTCCATTTACTATTTTAAATATTCGACTTACAAATCCCATAAGAGGTAGGCTTTGTCCTAAGGTATTTCAAAATTTCAAAGTAAAATACATTCAAACAAAGCGTAAATTATATATACACATCATTCCGACAATGATCAGAAATCGCTTAATAATTATTACGCTTCTTTTGGGTATGTTTATTGGCTGCAGGATCCAAAATTATTAATAATAAATTGAAATTTTTTAGCAGGACTTATCATCTTACCGTTATTTATTGAAGGATCTGAGACCCCAGATCCTCCAGGCGATGGCACCTTGACGAAGACTCTCTGGCCAAAACAACAGCTTAATAAAAAGAACATGTCAAAAATAATGACCAAACGACTGCACAGATTAATTGCAAGAAAGAAATTTGCTAGAAAGTTGCAACAAATGACGATTCCTTTCCTCGACACACTTGATAGTGTTCCGAAATTTTTGAAAGATCTCGAAGAAACAGTAGGTACGACCAATTCGAGTCAAATAACCAACAAAACTGGCATGATTTTCAAGCGTAAAGATGATACATCAAAGCCATATGCGAAGCTATTGCGGGTCTTTATCCAATTTGCTTGTAAGGACTCTACTAAATTAATTCATTCAATTAATTAATCAGAGTCCCTATTTTTCTTTTCAGGGAACGATGCCTGGGAATTGTTTAGCAAGAAGAAAACAGTAAGAGTCGATGAGGTGTAAATGATATCAGAGGATGAAGGATTTTTGGCACCTAGGATGACATTTTGTTTCTGAGAAAGCACAGTATTCTTTATTTCGAATTGTTGGGTTTCGTTGGGAGAGAAGAGTAGAAATTAAGCATCAAATTATAAGTGAGAAAATTTTAATTTGTAGAAGAATTTGTAAAGAAATCCTTTGGGGGATAAACAAATATTCCAGTTGAAGCATTCAAAATAAAGTGAAAAATTAAAAAAACAACACATAACGATTTACATTTAAGTTTTTTCATTGGTTTTCTTTTATATATGTATATATATATAGGTATATATGTAGTATAACATTGTTAACATTCATTATTGACTATGTAATATCTGCTGCAGAGATACTTTTCGTGTTTCGTGTTCTGTTTCCGTTTCGGTTTTTAGTTTTCTTCTGTTTTTGTTTTGTTTGTTTGTTTTTTGCAGGTACTTAGTACTACTTTGCTCCTTGGGTTTGCGATTATTGTACGCTTGTCCTATATATTCATAAAGTATATATATATATTTTATATATCTGATGAGAATTGGGGGGTAGGGGTTATCGGGTAAGGGGGGTCAGAAAGAATACTTAATAGTTTTAGGTGTTAATAAATACATCTCGAGTTTAGTTGGTAAAATTGCTAACATTTAGTAAGTAACTATGTTGTACATTCAAGGGCTAGGCTACATATATCGTATAAGGTATCGCTGATCTATAACGATCGTAAATATATCAATGTGTATACAGTGTTTTTGTATATGAATATGAAACAATCTGCAGTTATAGATTCTAGGCATAGGCTATGCAGTGAAGTCTTAGACGAGTTTGAATAGCACTTTCTCGAAGTCCGTACATCTATAAATATAGTAAATATAATATATATTGTGTGTATATCTCTAGCATCTAGTTTAGAGTTACAGTTACAGTTAAAGTTACAGTTACAGTTAGAGTTATAGTTAATGTTACAGTTACAGTTACAGTTACAGTTTTCAGTTGCTTATATCCGTAAAATACTTGAGTAAAGATAGAGCTAAGATTGTTGAAAGACTGACTACTCCTCCTAAGCCCTTGCAACCACAAAGGAAATCCTGCTGCATGTTGCATGTTGCATGTTGCATGTTGCATGCTGCTAGTTCGCTCTCTTTCGCTTCCTTTTTAGTTGGTTTTGTTCCCCTTTTAGGTTGTGGTCATAGAATATTAGTGGATCATGTTGGTTCTCAGACAATCGGCACGCACACCCATTCCATCAGCCGGAACAGCAGCGAGCACAACCAATTCTAGGCGGCCGTTGTCACCTTCGGCTGTCCACCAGGCTGTCCTGTTGCCTCGGCACCAGCACCCGTTGCACCCAACACGCCGCTCGATGTGGCCGCCATGTCCGAGGAGAGCTCCTCCAGTTGCAGCTCCTCAACCTCTGTGGCTTGGCCATCGGCACAGTTGCTGCTGCTACTGGTGGTATTTGTGGTGTTGGTGGCACCGCTGCCGGATTGACTGGTGCGCAGCTCCGGCGGCAGATAGATTTTGACCACGCTAGTTATCTTCACCCGACAGTTGGGACAATTGCTGCATCTAAAAGGATAAAAAATACTTATATTAATAAGAGTTTCCTTAGTTTTTAAGCTAGTTTCTGTGACTCACCTTGCAGCACACTGGGCACAGGCGATGACGTGACAGCACGGATTGAACACTGTGTTGATGGCACGGTCCATGCAGATCTTGCACTGCATGGCCTCTGAGATCCGCGTGTCCACGCAGCGCTCAATCGCCGCCTCACGCGCCTCCTTCTCGCGTATGGCCAAATCTATCTTGCCGGCCATGGAGCTGCTGCTACCCGCCAATGGCATCATTAAAGCCCCAAAGGCATCCGCACCGGCAACGGCACCGCCCACACCTCCTCCAACTCCTCCTACTCCTCCTCCACCACCACCAGCAACTGCGGAACAGCCTTCAGCGCCATCCGATGCCAACTCAGTCAACAGATCACCACCCCGTTCGTGGAGTGTCCTCCTGGCCTGGTCGTGCACCTCGCGGCAGGTGTGCTGTATGTCGAACACATAACGCTTGCCCAGTTCCGTGTTCTCCGAGAACATGGAGGCAATGGTGCCCTTGAGGTCTCGCGTGAACTGATTGGTCACCACGCCTCGCACCTTGTCGCACACATAGAAGGCATGACGCTCTGTGATGGAGCGATAGAGTCCTGCGGCAATGGGTTGCTTGGGTAGCTTAATCTCCAGCTCCTTGCGGTCATTGTGATCGTCCACATACTCCAGTTTGAAGGTGCGACGCAGCGATTTGGCCGCAGCAATTGCACCAAAGGGGATGCTGTGGGAAGAAAAGGGTTTTGCTTTAGATTGGGGTACTTTTAATTTAAAGAAATATGAAGTTTTTAACTTGAAAATTGGTTTAGTTATGCTTATTTTATTATATATTTTATATAGAATATAGAAGTAATGTTTACTTTACATTTGAGTGTCTAAAATCAGCTTCAAACAGAAGTAATATTAAGATTCTACGGATTGTAGTCTTTTAAAAGCATTAAAAACAGTTCACAGACAAAAACAGGTATTAAGAACTAACAAACTCTATAATATGAAATATTCTTAAAGACCCAATTATTTTACTAAATAGCTTTACATGATAATTTTACCTTGTTTTCTTTTATTATCTCTTACTAGGTTTATGATGAGTGCTAAAACACTCACCAAATAGCTTAATTAAAGTTAATAGCGCAGAAATAAGTGGGTTCTATAAAAAATACCACCTCAAGGTTGTAACAATTTAGAGCCAAGCAAGAGGGATTCCCCCATTTAGTAAATTTATTTTGTTAAATGCAATTAATCAGATTAATTAAAATACATACAACTTTTTACTTAAATAAAGCGGTCCCCTTTTTAATACACTTTTGATTAAAATTTAACTGAGACTTGTTATTGCTATTATATCACCTTGAACTTTAAGAGTTAATTAATAAAAGTAATGCTTTGTTTTGGAAATAAACAAAGCGTTTAAATATTCCTGAATCATCGCTCAACTTCTGAAGCTTCCAAAAGCAAAATAAATCTCCAAGATTTCAAGTTAAAGATTCTCACTTATTTCACTCCAAAACTCACCTTTGTTTCTCACCCCCCCGGCAGACGGTGATGCCGTGGGCTCCCACCGCAATGTCACAACGGGTGGCACTCTCATTGGTGGTCACACCGCTGAAGAGCTCCTCGCCATATCCCTCGAGATCTTGGATGGACTGCAGCAGCCAGTATTTGGCCGACTTGAGGCTCATTTGTAGCTTGGCCAACTTGCTGTGTTCGATGGCAATCTGTCGCAGAAAGTCCGCCGGTGGCTCACCCTCCGAACTGCTGGGCTGGATCAGGTACTCCTCATACATGCGCAACTGATTGCTGGCCAGACGCTCATCCAACCCCGTCTGACTGCTACTGTTGCTGGGACTGCTGGAGCTGCTGTTCGAGTGCGTTTGCGAGCAGGCGGATGTGGAGGCGGAGGCGGAGGCGGAGGCTGAAGCGGATGCCGATGGCGATGGCTGGAGGCTGCAACTTGTGGCTGGATTTGCCGCTGGCAGCGTCGTGCAGGTCTCGATGTGTTCCATGGACTTTTGCTTGGACAGGCGTCGCTTCTTGAAGCTGAGCACATGCTCCTTCTCCTTGCGCTGCTGCTCCAGCCTCTGCTGCTGGGCCTGCTGCTGCTGCTGTGCCTGCTGCTGGGCCAACTCCCGCCGCATCCTCATGGGACACTCTGCCCGGAGGGATGCCTCATTGAAGCGCAAACCATCGGCCTGGCAGAGCAGGGCCGCCAGCTTGGCCGCTCCACTCCAGTCGGGCGCTGTGAGGCGTCCCTCTAGGAGATCACGTCTCGCCTGCATGTAGAACAAATTGCGCACACTCTCCTGGAGGATGAAGTGCACCGGCACCCAGAACTTGACGCGCAGAGCGAGCATCAGTTGGATGCCACTGCCACTGCTGCCACTATCGCCGGAGAGTCGGTTGCGCAGGTTGATCCATTGGCGAGTGCGTGACTCCTTCTGGTTGGGTGTCCAGTGCTCCAGGCCAAAGTATTCCATTTCACAGATGATGTTCAGGGCCAGACAGACCTGGAAAATGAGAGAAAATAACAGGATTAGTTTTGGGATCCTTTCTAAATAAGTGTTTCTTAATATTTATAAAGTTTTTTGGGATCTGTAATTATTATTTAACAGTAACTAAAAACATGTATATTTTAAACCCAAATCAAACATTTTTAAGGCATATTTTATTAAGAAACAAAGCTGTGATGGACTAGTTAAAAGTTTCCAGAGAAATATTCAAGTTTGTTGACTTAGAGTATATATTTAATGCACTTTTGGACATCTTTAAAAGTTATTTCATATCTCTAGCATATTTTTAGAGTCATATATTTAAGAAATCTAATAAATTCCTCATAAAATTCCTATCTAAAAATGTAACAAATGAATTCAATAGCCCAATTTTGTCGCCAGCTGTATGAAATTGCTTTAATATCAAATAGAAAGCGGAATAAGTACAAGGAAAACATTATAGACATGTGTCTTCAAGTACCTAAATTATTTAGACTGAATAAATTCTGAATTTATAAACAAACTCTCTAAAAGAAAAAAACAAGACTGAGTAGTTAATTAAAAAAGCTATCTAATTAGCTCTCAAAAAATGTTACTTCCTTTGTTCTTACCCGCAGGAAATTAAAGTTTTATCTTTGCTTAGGGAACATCCCGCTTGAATGTTTTTCAATCTATTCTGGATCAGCGACTTATCAATTCAACTTGACAGAGCCTGTCAGCGACATGCGGAGGTTACACAGCGGTCCCAATCATGTCCTTTCACCAGGCTCCAGTCACCATCTCCTATCTACCAATCCCAGTCCCAGTCCCAGTCCCTGTCCCTGTCCCTGTCTCTGTTCCAGTCACAGTCCTAGTCCCAATCCCGATCCCAGCGTTGTCATGACAGCAGCAACATCCGCCACAACTGCTCCTGGCAAGTGGATGCTTGGCTGGATGGATGTACATGGGGTGACTGGGAGGATAATGTTCATGATGATGATGATGATGATGAGGCTGAGGGAGCGTGGGTTGCTCTACTGATGCTGTGGTTTCCAGAAATATTTGCTTATGCAACGAGCGTGTCATCGCTTCGAATGGAACAAGTTCAAATGCTGGCGGCAGCAGCAGCATCAACAACATCCTTATGTGTTCCATAATGCTGATGATGTCTGTCTGTCTGCTGGTTGGCTTTAACAAGTTGCATCGCATCCCGATTCCTGCATCCACATTCCCCCAAAGGCACTTGCATTGCCTGTCCAACGAAATGAAATTTCCCAAAAACGTCAAAAACAAAAATACATGGAAATACAAGGAAATTGTGCTTGTTTTTGTTCTCGTTTTTGGAATGATATGTTAGATTGAGGGGGAGAGAGGCAGCTGCCGCCCCAGGCTTACCTCTAAGTATTCCCATACCCAAAACTTCCCTTCCCCCAACAGCACTTTGCATAATGAGATATATGTAGCCACCTATACTTTTATGTATATATAATATTACCGTGGCAACAAGTTGCTCACGCATCAACGCCCATTTTGCACATTTTTTTCCCCCGTTTCCAATTAGGCGAAACCGCACAAAAACACGAGAAAAAAAATAAAGAAAGAAAGAAAGAAAGTAAAGGTGAGATGACTGAGGTAGGAGGCTGTGTAAGAGGATGTGCTTAAATTTACGAGAGGAATTATTAGCCATTTAAGTGAAATTTGAGACAATTTTTTCTAGTTTCCGTTTCCGTTTACCTTTATGCCATTCACATTTTCTTTTTGTGGTTATGACACACTCTGGCATTCTTTTCATCTTTAGAATTGTGCTCACGAATTATGACTTTGTGACTTAACATTTGAAAAAGTTTTTAAAGCATTTTAAGTAAGCAAAAAGTTAGTTAAAACTGAGAAAATGTTTAAGAAGGAATATATTGAAAAAAAAGTTTGTTAAACGTAAAACGTAGCCTACTTATGGGCATAGAAATATGTGTTTTTAAAGTATTATTTTATAACTTCAAATATTATTTTAATAAATGAAATTTTATTATGAATGATAAAGCTATAATTGTGATAAATTTTATGACTTTTCAAGTTCTAATTTGTCCTTTAAATCCCAGAATTAATATCCAAAATGTTTACCTAATAGAAAAGGTTAAAATTGTGATAATTTTTATTACTTTTAAACATTTTAAATTCTAATAAAGTAAAAAGTAAAGTAAATGTGTTTAATAAACTCCCGAGTTAATGCCTTAAATATTTCCCAAATAGTTCTACTTTCACAAGCTTAATTAAGCTAAGAATATACTCAAATGAATTGCCTTTTGCTCTTTGAAAATCCCATCCTACCTATAAAAGCACCTGTCACAGACTATATACCTGCCTTTCACCTTGAACAAAGGACATCATAAAGCCAAAGTGAAACCCAATTCGCCAAAACGTATCCACTCCAATGGCACTTTTGGACTAATTAAGATGACAGATGTTGCCGTCAGTTTTGTGGTTTTGCAGTTTTCGAGACGAGCTTCCAAGTCGAACGCAATTAATTAATCAAGTACGCAGATCAATTTACATGCCACTCGAGTCGAAAGTGGGCGTGGCAGCTTAGTAACGGTTGTTAGACAGGCGACAAAGCGACAAGGCGACTAAGAATTTGATGTACAGCTGAGCCCAAGGAGGAGCCTTTGCCACTGGAAGGGCATTAAATTCATGGCCATGGGAAGGCGGGCGGATACGGAAATGGATGTGAATGTGTATGTGAATGTCGTGGGTTGCCGTTGACAGCCGGAGTCGGAGAGCGAATCTAATGAAGCCTCTTGAGAGCCACCTCCTCCTCCTGCTCCTCCTCCTCCTTCATCCCAATTGAACTGAAATCTCATACTACGCATTTGCCGGGAGCGGAATGTTTAACAGAATTTAGGGAATCATCAGCGAATGGAAATGCTAAATCGAAAATGGCAATGGCAATGCCAGATGGTGCATAAATCCCTCAGTAATGGTTTTGTTTTTGTATAGAAATAATTAAATTTCCTAATAAAGTGAATTGTAGAAATGTAGAAGCACTTCAGGGTCAATGATCGCATTTTTTTGACTATAAATAAACTAATTTAATCGAATATCTGGTATAGAATTGGTTAAAATATGCGGGTTTTTGGTAAATACATTAATTAAATTTAGCGGAAAATTAGCATAAAGACTTGAAAATAAGTATTTACTGATTTAATCATGCAAAGATAATTAAAATGTATAAATAAATAATACTTTTAGAAACAACTTTTTAAAGAAGTCATGTTTAGACTGCTTTTTGAATTAAATATCAAGTATACGCAGTGATAATTTCCATTTAATCAATAAAGAAAGGAATAAAAAAAAGTAAATGTATAAATAGTTAATGCTTTTTGAAAGTATATTGATTTAATGAATTAGTTTTTATGCTGTATTTGACTTAAATATCAAACCAAACCAAACGCCTTGTTTAATTTCCATTTAAACAAAAATATTAAGTATACGCATTAACAATTTTTATCAATACAAAAATTTTAAGTATACACCGTGATAATTTCCATTTAAACAAAAAGTTTGACGCCTTGTTAATTTCTATTTATACAAAAATATCAAGTATACGTATTAAAAATTTCGATCAAAACAAAAATATTACGTATACGCCTTGTTAATTTCTATTTAAATAAAAATATGTACTATGCTTCTTTATAATTTACATTTAAACTTAAAATAAATAAATAAATTTCAACTAAAAAAAATCAAGTATACGCCTTGATAATTTCTATGAATACAAAAAATATCAAGTATACGCCCTGTTAACTGATTACTCTTTTCATTCTTTACCATTCAATTACTCGCTAAAATACTTTAAATTATTATATTTTTATATAATTAGCAAACCGTTTCTCCCGCTCAAACATTAATTTTAAGCATATTATTCCAATTAGCCACACACATTCATTCCCAACAACAGCAACAGTTCTTTGTGTTCTCATAAAATTATTCTGCATTTATTTCGAATTATTTCATATTTTTGTGGCTTGGAGAGCGAAAACGTGGCAACAGGCGGAACCAAAAAGGCTAAATACATGTTTATATTGCTTATAAGTATGTGTATATATAATATGTGAACATTCATTCACCGCAGAAATAATATGGCAACAAAAGCAAACGAAATACGCTACAAAAAAATATATATGTATATATACTGAAAATCGTCGCTGCTGTCAAGTGCAAAGTCCACTTTTTGTGGATTTCGCTAAAATTAAATACAACACGAAAGCGAGCGAGACGTGAACCGATTTTTAGAGTCAATAATAGCAAATACAAAAGTCGGGAATGGGATTTATGTACATATGTATATAGGTTTAAGCTGAGCCCTGACACAACCAAAAGTTACTTAACTTTCCCCCTCAGAAAATCTTGATGTAAATGCTTCTTACCACTCCCTCTGATTATTTTATATACCCCTTCTTAAGGCCATAAGGGTTTATTTGCAGTTATTGCTGGGTGATTTTCGTGGCTTTTACTATGGCTCGTAAAATCGTTGAGGAAGCAACAAGCTTGTGTAAAAGATACACCAACTATCTACATCTGTTACTTTACTTTTTACTGGTAATTTATCGAAATTTGTGTTTATATTTGTTGTAGTTAAACTGTGATATATCATTGAGTCTTATTTATAGTTATTTATTTTCAATTCCTTGGGGTCATTTCATTATAGTTTTTATGCTTTTGTTGCCAGGCAAGGAATATACATATACATATAAGCAAGTGTAAAATACACCCAAGCTTTTAAGCAAAAATCAAGAGTTTTATAAGGAATCTCAAGATTTAAGTTAGCTGATATTTTGTTGAACTTATTTACTGTTATTTAACTAAATAATAACATTAAGTTGTTTATATATCAAACTTGAAATTTACTTCACTTTTATGAGAACTCGTAAAATTGTTTGTTTCTTTACAAATGTTTATCGAAGTTCTCTTACTGTAACAGCCTTAACAGAATATTTTGAAAATATTTTGCAAGTAAACACCTGCTGTAACCAATTTCATTGAGT